CTTGAGGAAGAGTCATAGAATCATAGAATCATAGAATCATAGAATGGTTTGGGTTGGAAGGGATCTTAAAGATCATCTAGTTCCAACTCCCCTGCCACAGAACACTATAAAAGCAGTCATTTCTAAAGTAAAGAATATAGAAGAGGCAAAAAAAATTTCCAAAGTAATAAACTGGTTTGCCCTTGTCCAGACTGACGTAAGGATGTAAAAGGGAGGTGGCAAGTAAAGTTCTATCAAGAATCAGAAGTTGTCATTCTGGCACAAAATGTGTAAAATAGGAAGAGGACATGAAAACTAGGCAGGAAAAGGACTTATGCATGGCTATCAGAAGTGTCACTGCATACTAATAATCACTTTTTTCTGAGAAAATTCTTCAGTATTCTACCAAGGAATTATCCAATCAATACTGTATTGTTTCAGACATAGTTACATGGGAGGTATTTGGAGCACAACAGACTCTGTGAATTTAATGCCATATAACACTGCCTCCTAATCAAATATTACTCAAATTTCTCTTATAGCTAAAAAACTACCAAGAGCTTGAGACAGAAATTGTGTGCAACTTTATATTTTCATATTTATTTCTTTTTCTGAAAGAGGAAACTAATCTTCTGAAGAATTTTGTGAATGACAGTTACTTTGGGAATGAATAAAGCAGGACAACAGCTGGAGATTAAAGATGAACTCACTTTTATAAACCTGTGAATAAAGATCTAGAGTAGGATATTGTCCTCATTTGAGACATACATTTAATGACAACCAAAAGTCATTGTAGTTGACAGAATATACTTCAACAACAATACGGCTCAGTGAAGCGTGTTGAACACAGACGTCTTGAACCATTTGCTCAAGTGGCCTTAGAAAATCTGCCCAGAGAGAAAGCAACCAATTTCATGCTTAATAATAAAAGCATAAAGGACTGATTCCTGTTTCAATTCATCACTCTACATTAGACAATGCCGGAAATCAATGAGCAGGCTGGCTAACACTTCATTTCAGACAAATGAGTTAGCTAGATCCATTTTTAAATGACACTCTTTAATTTTCTATCTTTGAAGAAGAACAATGCCCATCTTAGTCATTATTACGCTAGCTATAAAGATCATATCTTGAAGCGTGATGGTAGAAAAACAATTACCCTTCACAACTCTTTATTGTGTATAAACCAGGATTTGCCCTATACCTTTTCTCCCTGAATTCAGGGAGGAAAAACTACACATAGGGAAATCCTTTCTCAGATTTTCTAATCTCTCTTTTTCCAAAAGAACAAGTAATCTGAGCAAAAGTTACAGGCAGGCAGCAACAGTTAAAAAACCCCTAAAATCTGTTGAAGATCTATGTGAAATGCTTGAGAAAGCACACTGTCCGGTAAACATTGGTATGTTTGCCTAGGATTAAAAGTGCTTAGAGTAATTTGAAAACAATACAACCAAACACTTTCATACGTTACTAACATATTATTCAATGTTCACATGAAATTGGGAAAGAAAATGGGATTTAAAGGGCTATTTACTGAACTTATCTGTGAACAATGAATACTAAGACTTCCATAATATCAGCCATATGATTAAAAATTGTAATTCCATAAAGAGGAACCGTCTGGCTTAAAGCTGTTCTAACAATCTTGTTGGCTAAAATGATTGTCTGCATTTTTAAGTATAAAGTTGAATCTTACTTTCTCTATACTTATATAGAGAAAATATATATACTTATATACTTTTGTCTTAACTATCTTAGCAAACTACATATTTTTCTGAGACAAAGCTGACAGAGAATTATTTTTTTAATTATTAAGGTCCTGACATATCTAATCCTATGGCTAACATGTTTAACTTTTACTTCTTTTGAAAAATAATTCTTGGCTAGTTCTACTTCCACATTCTTCTCTGTTTTAAAGAAGAAATACAACCTCTAACTGAGCAGGAGTCAGTATGAGGTAGAAAGCTGGATCAGCTCTTTGTAAAACTACTGAGTTTTTCTATGTGTAATTAGTTAAATTGCCAATAGAATACAGATATAAAATAGCATGAATGTCAAGCCTACTAATAAAATAGCATGAATGTCAGGCCTACTAAAAATTTGAGATACAGTCTATCTTCATCAAAAATAGCACATAGCAACAATAATTTCCAGAACGTTTTTTTAATGGTCTACAATATGACAAAGGCAAGAGACTGCATCAAAAGCAACTCTGAAAAATTAACACATAGAATCACAGAATGGTTTGAGTTGGAAGGGATCTTAAAGATCGCCTAGTTCCAACCCCCCTGCCATGGGCAGGGACACCTTCTACTAGATCATGTTGCTCAAAGCCCCATCCAACCTGGCCTTGAACACTTCCAGGGATGGGGCAGCAACAGCTTCTCTGGGCAACCTGTTCCAGTGCCTCACCACCCTCAATGTAAAAAATTTCTTCCTTATATCTAATCTAAATCTGCCCTTTTTCAGTTTAAAGCCATTACCCCTTGTCCTACCACTACATGCCCTTGTCAAAAGTCCCTCTCCAGCTTTCCTATAGGTCCCTTTTAGGTACTGGAAGGCTGCTGTAAGATTTCCCTTACACAATGTTGACGGATGCAGCTCTGCTGATCATTCAAGATACTTCAGATATTGAAGTCTCTACAGAGATGTTAAGTGACACTTTCCTGTTCAGTACTATATGTTTACTCTATGATTAAGCAGAGTAAAAATAAAATAGATTTTAGTACTATTTCCAATTCACCAAAACTCATAAGTGATAAGGAGAGAAAAAATAGATTTTGGTACTCTTTCCAGTTTGCTAATACTATTATCAGTGCTAAAGACTTCTTTTTAGGCTCAAGACTTTTAAACAAAGCTGTGAACTAACTTCCACTGGCAGACTCCCCAGTGCTACTACTGTCTTCCAGCAATGCCTGTACTTGCTTCTGTCAACCCCTTTTCAAGGCAACAGATGAGTGCAGATGTAATTAAAATCATCATAGAAAAACGTCCGACTGCAGAAGCGACCATGAAACAACAGAGCTACGCACTGATTTGTCAATATCCCATGGTCTTAAGGAAGAGCTCAAAACCAGTGCTTCATCCTTGCTATTGGTCTGCATTTTACATTAAGACTACTATCTGAATTTTAAAAACAATATACTTTTCTTCCTGAAAACAGATATCGATGCTGCCACTGTAGGTGAGGAGTCCTCATGAACAGACCACTCAGTACAATATATCTTAGGGACTATTATTGCACTCCTTCTCTGGTTCACCTTGCTCTTGCAGCAGCTGAGCAAACAATGGCTTTAACTCTTATGACAAGACGAGATAATGTCCTGCTGCCACATGATCAGCTGCTAATAATGACAGTGGTGGGGAGAAAACAGGGCAGGGAAGGGGACGTTGAAGAGATGAGGTGGGTACTGGGTGGGGAATGAAGGACATGACAATGAGGGGCAGTGAATGGTAGGAAGGAGAATGGTGAGGAGAATGGGAGGAATGAGGGGATGACTGGCAAGGAGAATGGCAGGGAAGAATGAGGAGTAGAAGGAGGGAAGAAATGGGGAAGAAAGAGGGAAGAAAGAGGGAAGGAGGAATAAGGGAAGAATGGAGGGAAGAATGGTGGGGAGAAATTGGGTGAGAATGGGAGAATGGGGAGAGAGAGGTGTGAATGAGAGTAAGAAAAGGTAAGAAGGAGGGAAGGAGAGGGGATGAAGGGGGAAGGAGAGCGGACAAAAAGGGAAGAAGGGAGGAAGAAAGAGATGAGGAAGGAGGGAAGAAGGACTAAGAAGATAGGAAGAAGAGAGAAGAAGAGGGGTGGGAGTGAGACAGGGCAAGGACAGAAGGGTGTAATGGGGGAGGATGGGGAGGATGGCAGGAATATGGAGGATGAATGGCAGAGGATAGAGGATGACAGGGGGAAGATTGGAGTAGAATGAGACAAGGCAAATTGAGGGGGGTGAATCAGGGGTCCTCTCCCTTTCCACTTCTTCCCTGCCTCTGCTTGCAGTGGGTAATACTGTGAGTGCAGTCACTGCTGTGCCCTGTGCGGGCAGTGACATGGCAAGCGGGTATGGTAAGCAGAGCTTTGCCTCCCTTTATTGCCAGGCGTAGCGGCATACAGCTGTGATGACCTGGCCTTTAATGACTTCGATTGAAGAAGTAGCTGTCAGAAAGTTTCAACTTAGTTACACACCTTGGAAACTCACAACTCTCTGAAAGGAAACACAGAAAGTTGCCAAAGTATAGCACAGCTGTTAAAGCCTTCTACTGTCCCACAAATTCCAGGTCTCTCATTTCTGTTGCAAAAGTATTTGATGAAACAACGTTAATGAAAGTTGAATTAAAGCATCAGAAAGCCCAATAAACTTTTCATAGCTCAACAAAAATGCTCCTCTCCCCAATTCATTTGTCTTCCATCAGGAAGAGAAAAACAAAAGGGATTAATCTCATTTACAGAGTGAAAAACAACACTGAATGTACTTTTTGTCAGGGGGGCAGGGGGAAGGTCTCCAGCTGGTTCTCATCTATATGCCATGATTCTTCATTTAGTTTACACTATTAAACTCAAAAACTTGGCTTTAATCTTAACTATTACAGTATGCCTTAGAGTAGATTCTATCATGTAGCATCCTTGATACAGTTTAAGACTCTGGCAAAACATCATCCCTCAAACTAGTCGTGGCCATATGGGTAGTAAATGTATCCAACATTTTTTCATTGGCGCCTACATTATTACGTCTTGTCACCAATGGTTTCTCGGGTTTTCAAGTAAATTGTTGCATATACTGTGGTTTGGAGCTGCTGAGATGAAGCCCTACATTTATCTGTATACAGCCAAATCCTTTTTTGGAACTTTTTTTCCTTCTAATGAACTAACATCTGTTGAAAAAAAAAAGTCATGTTTCCAGAAAGCTGTACAAAAATGAGAGAAAACAAAACAACAGAGCACTGCCAAGAAGCTATTGTTGCCAAGTTGTACATGACAAAAAGCAGCCTAGAAAACGATGGGTGGACAGAAATAGGCATCATACCTGATCTGTCTTCATTTTGTGAATCACACCTTCTACATAATTCTGGGATGGTCTTGAGAGAAGTTACAGAATACTGTAAAAAAGGAAAAAATGTATATGAAGTAATTCATTAAGAAAGACAAAAAGTAAGACTTTCAAGATGTCCTGATGTCAAGGGACGCAGCCTAAATCTACCAACCCAAGGGTACATCCTGCAGTCTGATGGTCTTCTCAAATTGCATGAGAAAAGCAGATGGCATCTGATTTTGTGTCCTACCTTCAGGGATATTAAACTGACTTTCAAAGCTACAGCAAAGCACTCCTCCACCTCAGGTTTCTGCTTCCCACAGTTCACCATTATTCAAGTCACAAATACGTTCTATATATCCATCCTTTCCATGGGATGCAAGATACAACAAAGGTGAGAATAGATATAGGCTTCACAGTGAACATCGAGCGTCTCACTTTGCCCACCTGGGCATCTACTAAGGTCATTATACTGCAAGATACTTCATGCTTAAAAAGTAGAACTGAAGCTTTCACAAACAAATAAGTAATGCAGAATATTTGCACCTTAGAGATCTGACTTCAGAGAGGGATGTGTGTACATAAGCCTATCAGACGACAGGCTCATTTCTCTAACTTAAGCCTTATTAAAGCAAACTTGCATTATTACTTTGATGTGACAGGATACCTCTGATATTAATCAGTATGTTATTCTCTGAATTCAGTATTAAAAAGGAAAAATCCAGGGATGACATATGTATCTTACTAAACAGAAATCTTTTTCTTATAAACTTGTGGAATTTCCTTGGTAAGACACATGATACAGTGTTATAAAACTACACATTCTGACATACAGAAATTAAGTTACTTAATAGCAAGCCTTCCTTAATTAAATGCTTAAATGTTACAGGAATCTTCACTTAAACAAATGAAAATCATTATGTCTGTGAAAGATCAATGGCTTTGCTTGTATTAAAAAAACTATTAAAACCAGTATTTTGGAAAGTAAAACAGAAAAAAGCATTTAGGATTAGCACAACTGAAAATTTTTAAAGAATACATAAACACCATATGTTCTCAAAGAAACAGATATTTTTAGCTGGTGTGCTATTGACCAATGAAGCAAAACAACTACATATCAGACCACATGAGCTTTCCACACAAAAGACAAATGGTCAAACATTGTCCTGTTCTTTGCTGACAGTTTGTCATTCAAAGTTTGATGTGCTTCTAATGCACAGCTGGCAATCTACTTCAAAATAATCTGAAGTTGACCTCACGTGACCAATTGCAGAAGTAATTTACTTGTCTGGTGCAAGTTTAAGACTGTTGCTCAATTGAATGTAGTTACTTTATTAAGCCTCAAAAACCTCCCATGCCTTACTTTTTCCCTTGCTGATCTGATTCGGGGACGTATTAAGAAAATTCAGCTACAAGAAGAATCTCTTATAAGTATTCCCAGGATCAACACTGAACTTATTAATTAAAACGTGTAGCAGCACTCCACAGAACTACCCAGTGACTCCAATCCTCATCAAACAAAGGAGTCATCTATAAGGCTGTGACTGCTTCAGGATGTGACAGCCCAAAGCAACAAAGAGCAGAAGAAAAGAGACAGGGAGAAAGATACTAATAAATACAAATTAATACAAGTTAAACACACACATGCATAAACACCATGTGCTATGCTTCACTCTAGTTATTGTTTAATAAAGATTGAGCTGTTAAGCTATACATCTTGGTATTTCAGCACTAAGACTCAGAAGGCAATGTTGAACTGGTCTAGTAAGATTCTTAAGAGGATCCAAGGAACAAGTCTCCAAGGAATATGGTAGCTTCATAAGGCCAGCTGGTGCAGTTTAAACTATTACACAGTTTGTAATTCAATTAGAATGAGGCCTTTTGTATTCCATTGCTATGTGTTTCGTCAGGCAACCTTAAAAACAGAAAGCCATTCTTCTTTTTGTCTCTTTTCCTGCTCTTTCCTGGAAAAACAGATTTTCTTTCTGTTTCAATATTGCACTAAAATATATACAATTACCACCTCCCACCACCAAAAATCTAGTAAATGCTATAAATTTGATTACACATTTTAATCATACTGGTTTGATTTCATTAACGGATTTCCTCCCACTCACCTCTGTCCTCAAAAAAGACTTCTGCACATTTACATTTTTGCCATCTGCATTTTGTGGTCAAGATGTGGGGAACTGGCTTTTGGTCCAGGAACCAACAAAAATAACTGTTTAAAGTGGACCTTTCCCAGCCATAAGCACAATCCACTGCCAGCTCTTCCCTCTAGAACTACTATCTCTCATACTGTAGCTCCAGTTCTGACTGTCGGTACTGTTTGTTATCTTTTCTTCAACCAAAAATTTTAAGGCTATTAGCAGTATCACAGAAGGACAGCAAAAGAGGTTGAGATTGCAACCCTTCCCTGAAACAGAATTTTAGACTTAACGCTCATTCAATGGCATTTAAAATTCATTATTTCTCACTTTTCATTCAATAATTTTAAATTGGTTTACATACAAAATTCAACATCATTTCTCAAATTTCACTATTAGAATAACCAAGTCAACCAGAGTTGAGGACCATGCCCAAAGGTATATGTGACAATGTGAGAGCTAAGCACATCAGATCACTTCACTACTCAATGGTTACTGTGACCTTTGGTATTTAATCAAAATGTGTTGTGGTTGACGGAGAAATTCAGTAACAAAACTAAAGGCTTCTTCCCAGGATAATGCATGTAATGGCATTTTTGATTGCTGTTTGAGCTTTAGGTTCTTTTTCTGCATTTAAGTCATGCCTATGTCCAACCTGAAATCATGAATTCCAGTAAACACCGAAAGAACTTTGTAAGATGGAAGAACAGTATCAATAGCAAAGAAGAGACAACAAGCAGTAACAAGTATTCCATGCAAATGCAAGATATTCTCATTTTTCTTCAACAGACCTTATTAATTCTGGGGAAAATGGCACCTTCCTTATCTTACAAAACATTTGTTCATTATGTAAAACTGCACTACGTCATTTGAATTAATGCAAATGTTAACCTCTTAAAATTCACACGGTTTTCAATTTTCAATGCAATGATTTTTAAACTAAACATACGAGAAAAAGACCCTTCAATCTCTAGTAAGGGTGTTCTGTGCTGTGCCACTTGTCTGCCACTTGCAGACTCACTTAGTGCCTGAGAAGTATCAGAAAGAAGATATACTGGATCATGAGTAGTGGCATAGAAATGTTTACATAAAACAGTAAAACAATTCTACATTCAAAAGAAAGAGCTGTTTTTTAACATTCTATTGTGGAGAATAGCTTTAATGTCTCCTGAAATGGAGTCAAAGGGGAAAGTTGGACACATAGTGTGACTCTCAGACCATGTAATCAGAACCATGACACCTCCAAAACACTGAGGACCATGTCTTACTCCAATTGGAGTCTGTGTCAAAACTCAACAAATTCACCTCCACTAGATCAAGACACCAGTGACTCTGTCCTGCTTCTAAATGCATAGCTCCTTTTCACTTAGATAGAGAAAACAGACACCTTCCTTCATTATTTCTTCCTTCAGGCTAAAGGCAGTAGCTTAAAGGAAAGGAGTGAATAGAGGCAAGTCTACTCTTGGGGTGGCAGGCAAACCCCTCCTTGCCCACCTCACCTTCTCAGGTGCCTCTGTACAACAGGTATGAGGCTCTGCATGTGGAAGGCCAGTCAATGGATTCTGTGGATGATCGTCCATCTACAAGCAGAGGTGTTGCCAGGGTCAGAAAGGATTACCCCCTGCAACATGACCACTTTCAAGAGGAAGAAAAGATGGGTTATAGTTGCAGGCAACTTTTCAGGGTAACAGAAGGTTCAATAGCCAGACAGATAGTCCTCTTAGGGAAATCTGCTGCCTCTCTGAGCCCTGGATTACGGACATCGCCAGGACAGTTTCTATCCTGGTATGGGCCTTGGACTGTTAGTTGTTACTGCTCGTCCATTTGGGTACTGATGAAGTTGCAAGGCATAGTCCGAAGGTGATCAAAAGAGACTTCAGGGCCCTGGGACAGTTGGTAAGGGAATCTGGAGCACAGGTTATTTTTGTCTCTCTCCTTCCAGTTGCCGACAGCGGCATTGGAAGAAACAGATCCACTCAGTCTATTAACGCATGACTCTGTGGCTGGTGTCACTGCCGCAGTTTTGGGTTTTTTGATAATGGGATGGCCTACATGGCACCAGGCTTGCTGATGCCAGATGGGATTCACCTTTCTCAAACGGTGAAGATGGTCTGTGCTTATGAACTAGCAGGGCTCATTGACAGGGCTTTAAGCTAGACTTGATATGGGAGGGGGACAATATCAACCTTGATCAAGACAAGCTGCGAGCACCTGAAGTGCAGCAGAAAGGAATTCCAGCTCCTCCAGCCAGTAAGTCAGCTTCATCAGGGCCCAACCTAAATGCCTCTACGCAAACGCACGTAGCATGGGGAATAAACAAAAGGACTTACAGGTGTGTGCACGCCTGCAGGGCTATGATCTTATTGGCATCACAGAGACGTGGAGGGATGAATCTTATGACTGGAGTGTTTGAATAGAAGGATACAGACTCTTTAGGAAGGACAGGCAGGGAAGATGAATAGGAAGTATTGTCCTCTATGTCAGTGACCAGTTGGAGTGCATGGAGCTCTGCCTGGCGATGGATGAGGAGCCGACAAGAGCTTATGGGTCAGGATTAAAGGGAAGGCAGGGACAGGTGACATTGTAGTGGAGGTCTGCTACAGGCCACCTGAGCAGGAAGACCAAGCAGATGAGGCTCTTTATGGACACATAGGAGTAGCTTCATTTTCATGAGCCCTGGTCCTCAGGGGGACTTCAACCACCCCGATATGTGTTGGAGGGACAACACAGCAGGGTATAAGCAATCCAGAAGGTGATAGAGGAACGAATGGAGAAAGGTGCTATGCTGGACCTTGTTCTTACCAACAAGGAAGGGCTGGTGGGGAATGTGAAGCTTAAGGGCAGCCAATGACCATGAAATGGTGGAGTTCAAGATCCTTAGGGAGCTGAGAAGGGCACACAGCAAGCTCACCACCCTAGACTTTAGGAGAGCAGACTTTGGCCTCTTCATGGATCTGCTTGGTAGAGTACCATGCGATAAAGCCCTGTAGGGAAGCGGGGCCCAAGAGAGCTGGTCAACATTCAAGGATTACCTCTTCCAAGCTCAGAAGTGATGTATCTCAGCAAGGAGGAAGTCAGGCAGAAATGCCAGGAGGCCCGCCTGGATGCACAAGGAGCTCCTGGACAAACTCAAGCACAAAAGAGAAGCCGGCAAAGAGAAGAAGCAATGACAGGTAGCCTGGGG